GATGGAAAAGGTAATCGATCAATACCTAAGGAATGGAGTGCTTCTCACAAATCCACTCCACCCTAGCCAACATGCTTACCAGAAAGCAAAATCAACAATTACCGCTCTCCATGCTTTGACTAGCACCTTAGAGGAGGCAATTGCAACCAAAGAGATAGCCCTTTGTGCTTTCATAGATATAGAGGGTGCGTTTGATAACACCTCATATGAATCCATAGAGAAGGCTTTAAACGTAAAAGACATACATCCGTCGACAATCAAGTGGTGTATAGCCATGTTGAAAAGTCGGCAGATCACAGCCAGTCTGGGAGGCGAGTCGCTGACTATAAAGGCGCTAAGAGGATGTCCCCAAGGGGGAGTGCTATCACCTCTATTATGGTGCCTGGTAGTTGATGACTTGATGAACACCCTAACTAAAAACGGATTTAAGATACAAGGGTATGCTGATGACCTGGTAATCACAAATAGTAATAATAATAATAATATATATAGGGAATTTTCCCTTGAAAATAAATACCCGGGTATTTAACAACACTGCTTATGACAGACCATAAATCTTGGCAAAGTCTTTTCTGTCAATTTCTTTCATTTTATACGCACAAAATGAGTTTTAACATTAAACATAAATTTTTATTAACAACCAATTCTATTTTTTTTATTTTTTTAGTTAGCCAATTCGCATTAATAATCGGTTTTGTTTCGGCGTTTCCTTTGGGTCCACTTCTTGCGGTGATTCGCAACATTTTCAAAATAAGAGTAGAAGCGATTAAGTTCGCGAAATATAGCAGAAAGTGTATACCGATGAAAGACAGCGGATTAGGGCCTTACAACAAAATAATTAAATGGGTATCTGGAATTGCAATTTTTGTGAATGTACACGCATTATAACTTTAAGACTCTTTTAATTATCTAATTATCTTTGTTTTAGGGTTGTGTGATTGCATTTTCAAGTTCAACGATTTCGTGGCTTTTATACAAGTTTTATTTTAAAACGGAAGGGGGATACTATAACTTTATGCTTTCTGGTTTGCTTTAAGTTTAACATATAATGGTTAAAATTTAAATGTTAATTTTTATGTTTAGAATTTGATTCAGCTGATCTTAACGAGAAAACTGCCCAATCTAAGGGAATTTGTTATTATCCCGGCCTACGTCATCCTCCTAATAATCCTGATAAATACGGACTAAAAATCGAATTTTATGTTATTATTATTGCACAATTAGTATTTTTAATTATTTACCAGGTGAAAAATGTTCCTGCTTTAATTTATAAATGTTTTTCGAATTTTTGGTTTTCAGCAATTTATGTTGTTTATAGTTGGTTTATTAAGGAGTACTTTAACTGAAAAACCAAGAGTTTTTAAGGAACGTGTATTATACGAAGAAGTGTTAGTAAGAGATATTAAACAGAAGATTTTGAACGATTTATACAACGATCCGATTCGTCGAAACTTTCCAGATACAATTCAAATTCCTCCACCTTTATTTAACGACTAATTAATGTACAAAAAGTTTAAATAAATTATTAAAGTTTAAACAAACAACTGGTTTGAGCATAATTTGGAATAATTAAAGAATACCTGTCCCACTTAAAAATCGATGATTTTTTTTTTAATCGGTAGGAAATGACTCAAAAGATGTGTTAATGATAAAAAAAAAGTGCGGAAAAGTGTAGTACTTACCGAAAAATCACTTTAAAGTTGCGATTTGACGTTTCTTTTTGGAAGTTCAAAGCAATGTTAAAATTGCATTTTCGTATTAAATCCTAACCTGAAA